AGGGGAAGGGAAAAAAGGGAAAGGAAAAAATATGAGAAGAGGAAAAAAATGGAAACAAGGTCTTTGCAAATAGGGAAGGGTGGAGGGGGTGAAGGGAGGGCAAAGGAAGGGGGGGAAAAAACCAAGAGACTCATGTAAAGGTACAAGATCCCAATGATGAATGTAACTGTATTTTATACTAAAAATGTACCAGTAAACTTAATGGGGGGGAAAATACTCTTGACAATTTGTTTCATTGCTTAGCTAACTTTGATTTAACAATCCCTCTTTAGTGGGATATTTAGGATATTTTTGTTGTTTTTCTCTTACAAGGAATGAAAAGTAGATACAAGCTGTAGGAAGAAGGAAGTAATGAGAAAAATGAGAAGAAAAATATGGAAAATATAAACACCTGAGAAAAATGCTTTAAAGGGCACAAAAGCAAACCAGGTTGTCTACAGTGCACAGGAATTACCAGTAAGAAACACACAAGAGGGGGCCGGATTTAGCTCAGTGGTTTCGCCGCCTGCTGCGCAAGCACAAGGACCTGAGTTTGATCCCCAGTACCAAAAAAAGGACACAAGGTATTAATGCTAATTTTCAGCTCATTACATTTAAGTCAACAAATACATATTGGGCAGCTGCTGTTACAAGGCTGGACTCAGCACCTAAGGCTGTGGACCCGACAGCAGCCCAGCTACTGGCCTCACAGAGCTTGTGAATAAGGGAGCAACATGGGACTGTTTAATACACACGCAATGATTTGAGATTAACAAGCTGACTTGACTGACCAGCTCTGCAGTGGTAGCACCCTGAGTTACCACACTCCCTGTCCCCTTCTGGTTCACCATGGGACTTTCTCCCTGCCTTTGAGGAGGATGCATGTTTCAGCCTCAGTAGAGGTCAACTTTAAGCTCACACTCAACCCAGTGCTTGCATTCAATGTCTCTGAATGAGGCATTCGACTCTTCAGTCTCTTCTAGAAACAAGAAGCCCATTACTCTCTGACTGAGCCCTTTCCTGCTTGTTTGAAAGTTTTCCTTATCCAACTGCTACCCCCTCTGTGTCTTCCTCTGATTGGTTCAGAACCTCACAGAACAAGTCTGTCATGTTCTACAGCCTGCAGATCTAAGTAAGACCTGTTAGATCTTCTTTGGGTGACACACCCAGTCCCACAATCTGCTCCTTCAGTCTGTGATGACCTTCCCTGGCAGGAAGGGCCTGGGAGCCCCTGTAGATTTATCAAACTAAGCACACGCGCAGACCTTCCCACAGAGAACCCATGGACAGATGGCCACAGCATGAGGCAGCAAGGCCCAGGTCTGTGAGGACAGACCGTTCTGGTGACACCGAAAAAGGCTGTACAGCTCCCAAAAGTGGGCAGGGATGGAGAGGAAGATGGACCAGCCAAGGGTGGGGGACCTAATCTTCTGTCCTTCCAACATGAGCCACTGTGCCTTAGAGCAAAGTTTCTAGCACCGAAGCGCATGCTGATCACTTGGGAATGTGGCTGGCCTAGGGGTTTGCTCCAGTAGATCCTGGGTAGAGCCTGAGACTGTAAACCTAGTGAATAATTTAGATGTCAACTACCATATACATATTTCAAAGACTTTTCTTACATTCTGACAAATTTTTCACCTAAAAGACTAGGCAAATCCACAATGTCTTATCTGAAATGGATTTTGGAATTCAGATTTCATGAAATTTTAGAAATGTAATACAGGGTTATACTGTATAATATGTATCATTCCCAGCAAGGAAAGCAGGATAAACCAACTGAAAATAGCTTCATGTCAGTTCAGGTCAGGTCCTATCACCAAATGAATTTGTCTCACACTTACAGGGTAGATAGAGAAGGGAGACTTTGGTTTCATAATTTGTTGGATTTTAGAATTGCAAGTAGGGAACTATTGGCTCCTACAACTCTTAAATCCATAGTGAGCTGGGCCTTTATGGCTGCTTAAGATAGTATTATGGGGACCAGGGATTTAGCTCAGTGGTCAGTGGTTCTACCCCTTGCCTTGCAAGCGCAAGGCCCTGAGTTTGATCCCGGGTACCAAACAAAAAAAGATAGTATTACAGTTTGGATCTCAATTGACTTCCCAAATCTCATGTACTAAAAACTTGGTCCCTCTTAGGAGGCGCTGGAAATTCTAGGAGCTAGAGCCTCACTGGAGAAAGTGGGTTATTGGTGGCAAGCCCTTGTTAAACCTATCTCGTCCCAGAACCAATCACTGGAGCAAGCGAGGGTGGGATCACCCTGACTGGCTTCGACCCCTGGAGGCAGGAGTAGGGAACAGCCCTCCTACACAGGCTGCAACCTGCTGGGCAGTGGGGGTAGATGGAGAGATTATCCCAGTGTTCACAGTGCCCATTTTGCTATGAATTGCTTGTTTACATCCTCTGTCCTTTAAAAAAGTTTTAACTGGGCCGAGGATTTAGCTCAGTGGTTTTGCTGCCTGCTGCACAAGCGTAAGGACCTGAATTCGATCCTCAGTACCAAAAAATAAATAAATAAATAAAGTTTTAACTACTTTTGATTGGTTTGTAAGAGCTTTTATATATAATGAATATTTCTCTCGTGTAAGTTGTGACTATTTCGCCTAGTCTGTTGCTTATCTTTTAACTACATTTCGTGATGATTTTCATGCAACAAAAGATGGTGAGCTCTGTGTGTCAAATTCACCATCCCTTGCTCAACTCCTTTAATCCAAGCAAGAACTGAAATGTCTGGTCAGTGAGGAGGGAAATGAAATTGCAGTATCCTCCGAGACTTTGGAAATAATGTCACGGTTGAGAATTAGAGCTATGCTCAACAAATGGGACGAGTGTTCTAGAAACAAGAATCAAGAGACTAAAAATGTGGAATGGAAACTTCAGAGAGATGGAGAATCTCTTAATTGTCTCAGCCTTCATTACCTTGTTAAAAATGACAATATTGACAGGCCCAGGATTTAGCTCAATGGTTCCGTCTCCTGCTTTGCAAGTACAAGGTCCCGAGTTCGATCCCTGGTACCAAAAAAAAAGACAGTATTGGGTTGGAAATATAGCTCAGTGATAGAGAGCTTGCCTAGCTTGTGCAAAGCCCTGGGTTCAGTCTCCCACACTACAAAAGATGAGGAAAGAAAAAGAATGGTGATCTTTACTTTCTTGGGAAAACTGGGTCTTGAGGAGCACTGCATCTTTTACACCCTCTTTGGAGATACCTCTTATGCCCATGGTTAAATCATATGAGGCTTTGTCGAGGACCTTTTTAGATAGACCTTCTGAAGGGTATCCCTGACTGCCAACCACAACTACAATCCCCTTCAGCCTGAAGTAGTCAAGTGGTCATCGTCCCTTGCCTCCTCAAGGCAGTTCAGGATACTTTTTCAGAGGGGGGAATATTATAGATAGATGAGCTAGGTGGAAATGTAGGGCCAGGCATTTAGCTCAGTGGTTCTGCCGCCTGCCTTGCAAGGCCAAGGATCTGAGTTCAATCCCCGGTACCAAAAAAAAAAAAAAAAAAGAAGTATTATAGGCAGTGAGACAGGGCTAAGTCCTGGAGAAGGCCAGGACAAAGGTGAAACACATCACAGCACCACATCAGTTAGACTTCCTGGCTGTACACGCAGGGACAGACCAACCTAAGCCAACAGGATTTGCTGGAAGGGTATTGGAGGCTCTTGGTATTGCAGACAGCTAAGTTAGTTATAAATATTACAGCCGGTTATACAAGGCTGGGCCTTCAGCACAGAGGACAAATGTGGCCCAAGGCACATCACTGAAGGTCAGAATTGTAAAAGGAAACTACACACCCTGTGCTTCCCCTGGGGATAAATAGCAGTGACTGATATTCTAAATAGGTATCAATCACCTGGGTGGGGGGTCAGGGTCTTAACCCAGCCTCTCCAGGAAATATTCCAGTTCCCGACCCTTACAGAAAGTCCTTGTACACTTGCTACATGGCTTGCTTCCCAATTGGACCACCGTTACCTAAGTGACTATGTGTTTAACCTTATTGGATGTTCATGGCCGTGGCCCACATTGTTCCCACGTGGGTTTCGCCCTATAAAACTCCTCCTGCCCCTCAGGACCTTTCTTATCAATAAATATCTTTCTGGGCCAGGGATTTAGCTCAGTGGTTCCAACGCCTGTCTAGCAAGCACAAGGTTTTGAGTTCAATCCCCGGTACCAAAAAAAACCTAAACAAAACAAAACAAAAAATATGACATATCACAAAATGTTTAGGGCTGGGGATTTAGCTCAGTGGTTTCGCCACTTGCTGCGCAAGGACCCGAGTTCGATCCCCAGCACCAAAAATAAATAAATAAAATTAAAAATAAATAAATATCTTTCTACTTTAAAAAAAATCATATGAGGCTCCCTGGCTTGGAATCACAATAAATGTAGGTGCACCTTTGCATATTTGGACTTTTACATCTAAAATTATTTTTGTTAAAGAGCTCTCACCCTACACAACTATCCTATTGGTATCCCTGGGAGAGCTTGACTTAAAAAGAGAAAGTACGAAAGTGAATGCTTCCTTTTAGTACGCACTCTCCCAAGAAGAAGAAAGCTCTTGCACGACTCCTCCCCCGCTCCCCTACATCTTTTCCTCATCCCAGCCACAGCGCTGAGCACACTGCACTATAACTGCCAGGATTCCCAAAGGAAACACAGGCAATTCACTGGGCAAGAAATTAAAATGACTTTTAAACATTTGAAAGGATGGTCAATTCACTTATAATTAATGCAATTCAAGTAAAGAATGCCAGCTAAGGAACGCAGATGAAAGAACGAAATTAGAAAATCATCACCCCTTGATCAGGGACTCAGTCCAGGTTATCAGTGGTTAAGGGCCTGGATATCTAAAGAAGTTAGCCAGAGAGGAGAACTGGACATCTACCAGGGAGGGATGTGTTGTCACCGTAACCCCACATTCAAACTTGGCCTTATCAATAGTGGGACACCAAGGCCTTGAGTGTGTACTCCTGACGGGGCATAACTTGAACCTCACAGCACCACCAGGAGGTGTCCTTAAAATTCTTGCCCCCATAATGTTTAATCCATCCTAGTTTGTAAGAAATAATAGGAGGGCTGGGGATTTAGCTCAGTGGTTCTGGCGCCTGCCTCACAAGCACAAGGTCCTGAGTTTGATCCCAGGTACCAAAAAAAAAAAAAAAGAAAGAATAGGGATGGGGGATGGGGGTGTAGCTCAGTGGTAGAGTGCTTGACTAGCACATTTATGGCTAAAGGACACACACTAAAGGAGTCAGAGTGGGACATTATATAAGAACTGCCCCTGGCTCCTCACGAGTCAAGGTCGTGGGGGGAAAAAGAAAGCGAGGACCATTCTAGATTTAAAAACGCTTAAGGAAAAACAAAACAAAACACTTAAGAGATGTAGCATGGCGGAGGCCCTGGGTTAGTTCACCAGCACTGCAAAAGACAAAACAAAATTAAAAATATGCTGTGTTGGTGAGAGTGTGGGGAAATAGGCATTTTCCTAGATTCTTAGTGGGAGCATTAGTTGGGACATTTGACAGAGACATGTCCTTTGATACAGCAATGCCGTGTCTAGGAATTTAACATGCAGGTTATACTCAGATGTGTTCAAATATATTACTAAATCACTGCAGCTTTATTTTTGTAACCGAAGATTAGAAATAGCATGTATGTTCATCAGTAGTTGTTATGTTAAACTAATTTTTATGGTTCATCCATATAGCAAAAATGTTAGAAGGTATGGGTTAGATCTTTTGTGTTGTCAGGAAACTCAGATGTATTGCTAAATGAACAAAGCAAAGGTCAGGCCAGAGTCTATCTCTGTATCAGACACTGGTCCATGGTTAACATTAGTCAAGGGACTGGATACACATATGAACGTGACTGCTGTGAGTCAGGCTTTCTGGAAGCAGTCAGGTTCAAGGTAGAGAAAGAGGCCAGATTGTGCACCTCTTTCAGATGTCTAAGGTCATACTTCCTTGGATTCATATATTTGTACCTTCCCTCAAGATGCACCATGTCTTGTAAATTATTGAACAAGACACTCTGAAGAGACAGAATAAAAAATTTCATAAAAGAATGACAAAGAGGGCCAGGGATTTAGCTCGGTGGTTCTGCTGCCTGCCTCGAAAGCCCAAGGTACCGAGTTCGATCCCTGGTACCAGAAAAAAAAAATGACAAAGAGAATTTGCTGACCCAATGTAAGAACTGGGACTTAATAGAAAATGTAGCTCCGAGCTTCCTGGCAGCCAAGGCAAAAAAGGAAACCCCTGATTTACAGAACTTTTGTTACCTAGTAGAAGGAAGGAAAGATGCTAATTCCTTATGAGCCACGCTTGCAGCCTGGGAGGTGATGTGCTTAGGAGTCCCTTAAAGCAAACTGAGAAGCTTACCTTCCTAGTTACATTTGCAGTCACGTGTTGCCATAGGACAGCCACTCAACAGTGGACCACATAGGGCCGGAGATTCAGCTCAGTGGTTCTGCAGCCTGCCTTCCAAGTGCAAGGTCCTGAGTTCGATCCCCAGTACCAAAAGAAAGAAAGAAAGAAAACAATGGACCACATATATGATAGTGGTCCCATCAATATTTCTCATCATGATGTTGTAGTTACCTTCAGTTGTATAAGTACACTCTGAAAGGATTGCACAATAATAGCATCACCTAATGAAGCATTTCTCAGAACTTATCCCCTCTTTGTCTACTGTCTCAAGAACTGTGCTTGCTCAGTGGTAAATTAAAGAATGGTGCTTTAGTAAGGGAAGCTTGGGTGTACGGAGGAACTTGATGTAAAATTCCCATGAATTTTTAGGGTAGCCCAAGGTGAAGACATTATAAGCTTTCTTTGGGCCCTTTGATTAGGTCTCAGTCTCCTGGGTAAAGGGGTGACCCTGGACCAGTCACATCTCTGGGCTTCATTCCCCCCATGGGGAAAAATGATTATCGCAGATAAAATGAGTTGACGCAGGTAGATTGCTCCAGCGGATAAATGCTTTTGCTAGCTGCTATTGACATTATCATCATGTCAAGACCTTAGGGCTACACATACACTGACTCTGGAGCCAGATTGCCGGGGTTTGCATCTCAGCTCCACCGCTTAGTGGCTGGGTGACCTTGGGTAAGGTCACTTAGTGTCTGTGCCTTAGTTTCCTCCTCGGTAAAATGCAGGCTAAATGGGCTGAGGACCGTAGAGCCTACAGAGCAGGGCCTGGGCACACAACATGCGCCTTGTGCTTATTAAATAAAGCCTGGCCTGTTTCCTTCTACCCTTTGAGGCCTTTTAGAAAAAAGAAAATGACAGGCTCAAAGAAGACCGGCTATTTCCGACACTAATTTTTTAAAGGTCTGGATCGCTGTGATCTCAGCCATCCCAGGAAGACCGAGAAGGGCCAGTGTGTTTTAATGGTGGCGTCCGTGGCAGGTGACCGCGGCAGGCGCTCCGGGGGGCGCGGCCCACTCCCCGGTTCCCGCACCTCCCTGGAACCCGCAGCGAGGTCCGGAGCGCGGGCGGGGGTGGGAGGAGCGCGGAGCTCCCGGGATCCCCCCTCCCCTCCCCCACCGCCCAGTGAGTAATGACATTCGCGGGGGGGCGGGGGGGGGGAGAGGGACAGGCTCGGCGAGGCCATGTGATGCTGGGCGAGCGAGCCGCCGCCGCCGGAGCCGCCTTCTTCCTCCTCGGATCGCGGCCGCCATGGCGACCCCCAACAACTTGACCCCCACCAACTGCAGCTGGTGGCCCATCTCGGCCCTGGAGAGCGATGCGGCCAAGCCGGCCGAGGCCCCCGACGCGCCCCAGGCCGCCAGCCCCGCCCATTGGCCCAAGGAGAGCCTGGTTCTGTACCACTGGACCCAGTCCTTCAGCTCGCAGAAGGTAGAGCCGCGCGGGGAGACGACGCGGGGGGACCCGGGGCTTGGGGTCCTGCGCGCCGGGGAGGGGTCCGACTGGCCCTGCCTGGGCCCCAGAGCAGAGCCCCCAGTTCTGGGAACGTCCATTCCGCCTGTTCCCTCCCAGGAAGCGCCGGCGCGTTGGGGGCTTGGAAGAGAGACCGAGACAAGGGGAAGGGAAGGGGCGCCGCTGGGAGCCTCCGGAGGGAGGGGAAGCACTTTCCCCAGGGTCCAGCCGTCAGCCTTCCCTCCGCCGCTGTCTGGGACACAGCGGCCCCCTTGTCACAGCCCCTCTGTCCTGGCTGGGGCTTTCTCTGGCTGGCGCTGGGAATGTCTGTCCCCAGCCGTGCCCCCTTCCCCTTCTCTGGAGGTGCGAAGGCAGGAGTTAACGCCGCCCCTCGGGCCAGCCCCGCTCGCCCGGCGGATCCGCGGTGCTCTGCGCTTAAAGGCACAGACCGGATGCCCCTGAAACCCTCTGGGCCCAGGGGAGCGGGGGCGGGGAGCAGTTGGAAATCCTGCCTGGTGCTAAGCTATCAGGGTTCCTGCTTCCGTCGAGTGAGCCCCAGGACCGACCATCTCCCACCCGGTCCTTTCTCTGGAGCACGCTTTAGCACCATGGCCAGAGCCCAGCGGCCGCTCCAGCTGCCTGACCCTCGGACTTTCCCTCTCCTTGGAAGAGCCTTTTGTTCCATTCCCTCGTTTTCCGGATGGAAAGACAGATTCCGTGCAAAGAAAGGGCTTTGGAACCTAAAGACTTGTTTTGGATTCTTGGTCTAGGCAGTTTCATCGTCCAGAAAATAGGATGATGCTAATGATAGTAGCCGCTTCGAATTCCAGCCCTCTGGAGAGGGCTTCGAGTGTTGAAGGGGTGGCATAACTTGGTGCTCCCAACGGGTCCTACTCACACCTGAGCATGCATTAGAATTACCCAGTGCTCCCAGGTAAGACTCTGCCTGCTGGATTTGGCCCCAGAGGTCCTAGTTCCATGGCCTGGTGGTCAAGGCACTGCCTCTCCAACAGGACCCTGGGTGATGCTGAGGAAACTGGACCACTGGGCACCTCTGATTAGCTCGGTTTAGGGTCGAGACTCTGAGGCCAGAAAGACCCCAGTGGGAGGGCCTCTTTGTGGAGCTGTGCACAGGTCACTCTGCCTCTCCAGAGCCTCAGTGGCATAATCTGTGCCATGGGGCCAGTGCAGTCACTTCCACAGAGGGCTATTATGAAGGTGAAATGGCATGGCACACAAAAAGTGCTGCTACTGCTGCTGCTACTACTGCCTGGAGAGGGACACAGCTCTGTTAATAATGGGTGTTATGCACGCCTGCTTCTCAAGTGCAAGGTCCTGAGAGTTCGATCTCCAGTACCAAAAATAAATAAATAAATAAATAAAATAACGGGTGTTACGATGTCACTAAAGTGCTAGATAGTGGGGCCGGAGTCCAGCTCAGCATAGAGGTCATGGTTAGCATGTGCAAGACCCTAGATTCAATCCCCAGTGTGTGCATGTGCGCACACACACACACACACACACACACACACAATGCTAAGTAACCAAGGGCCAGCATCACTCAAGGTCATCCTGGAACTCATCCATAACTCTGCACATTCTTGCTGAGCACCTGCTGCACACCAGGCCCTGTGTAAGGCACTGGGCATTTTCAGATTAATCAGACTGACCTCCAGATTCCAGAACCTCCTTCCATCCAGACCGTCAGGAATCAGCCCCCAGTTGTTGGGCCTGGATGGGAGCAGGGAGAAGGGATCTCCCATCTCCATCCCCTGAGGGAGCCTCCTGCTCTTCCCTCACAGAACATTTCCTATTCAGTCTGAGCTCAGGGCTCGAGTGGTGCTGTAGTCGGGGATGGGACCGCCCACTGCAACCCTACTTTTGACAATGTCTCCACCAAGCTAGCCTAGACATCCTCCTACCTCCCCTGCCTGGGTCTCCCCTGCAGGAATTCCAGAGGCAGTGTCACCTGGCAAAAAAGGCATAGGCTCAGCACTCACAAGGCTTTGGGTTCCAGTCTCATCTTTGCTGTTCACTGGGTGAATGACCTAGGATAAGTCACTTCATCTGTCTGAGCCTCATCAACTTATCTGGAAAAGGGGACTTTGCATTCTTCCCTGCTTAATTCCTGGGGATTTTAGAGAACACAGGCAGATATTAAGCACCTGGCATGCAGTAGGAGCTTAGCAGGCAAGGTTCTTGCTTTCCCTCCTCCTGGAAGAGGCTTGCTCACATGCATATATGCTCCCCATTGTGAGAAGCTTGTCCTGAATGGCACATGAGCTATTAATAGCACTAAATAGCTCACCTGCAGGTGAGATGGGCAGTGTGTTAGGTATCTGGGGGCTGTTCCAGACCCAGAGGGCATCAGAACAGTGCAGGGGTCCAGAGCCCCAACTTTGGGGCCAGATAAGCTGGGCTTCAAGCTTAGCTCTACCACTGACCAGCTGGGTCATCCTGTGCAAGTAGCTTAAACTTCCCTGCTTCTGTTACCCAGTCTGTAATTGAGAATAACAATACTGCCTCCCAGACAGGATCTTTGCAAGAATTCACAGAAGGACACAAGCAAATCATCTAGAATAGCATGCAGTAGACAGGATATGCTCAGTAGGCACCAGTGCGGGTTATAAGACATGGGGTGAGGGATCGGCCAGACTTGAGGCCCAGCCCCACCCTGCTGCTTCTCGGCCACATGGCCATGTATAGTATCTTCATCTCTCCAGGTGTCACTTTTCTCGGCTGGGAATGGCAGGGCCTTTCCTGATCAGAGGGTGTGTGAACTGAGTGACATCATCCACGGTCACATTCTAAGCATCACACTTTACACAACAGCTCCTTAACAGTGAATTTGCTCTTTTTTTTGAGACAGGGCCTCACTTTGCAGTTTAGGCTGGCCCTGAAATCACTAGGTAGCCCAGGCTGGTCTCGAAGTTGTGATGATCTTCCTGCCTAGCTGGGATTACAGGCATGGGCCACCGTGCTTTTAACAGTGACTTTCCAAGCACCGTGATCACAGGTGACAGTTTGGGGCCACTGGGTCTGCAGGAGGCTCCAATGTGTAGTGTTATGTGAATGTGCTTCCTGCCTCGGCCTTCTTTACTGCTGGGAGCAGGAGTGAGGTGAGAGGGACAAAGATGCTGGGAATCGAGAACAAGACTGTAGGGCCGGCAGCCCCACTACCTGGCTGTGCGATCTGGGCCATGTGATCTGGGCCATGCGATCTGACTCGCTCTGCTCCTTGGGTTCTTCAGTGGGAAAACACACTTGAAGCCAGGCATGGTGGTGCACACTGGTAATCCTAGTGCTCTGAGACTGAGGCAGGAGGATGGCAAATTCAAGCCCAGCCTGGGCAAATTAGCCATATCCTCTCAGTAAAAGAAATTTTAAAAGGGCTGAGGATGTAGCTTAGTGTGAAGGGTATGGATTCAACCCGTAATACTGCTAAATTGGTTAATTAGGTACTTAATTAAATGCATTAAAAGGAAATGCACTAGATTTGTGATATAACCTGCCTGGCTGCCTCTCTCCAAGCATGGAAACGGCCCTTGCTGTCTGTTTCCCCTGCCTTTTGTACACCCTTCTGTCCTCACACTTTCCAGCTTTTTAGGAACCAAGATTGCTCCTTGCTAGCTGTGTGACTTTGAGCAGGTAACTTGCTGTCTCTGCCTGTGTCCTCTTTTGTAAAATGAGGATATTGGTAGCTGCTAGTACCCACGTCACTGGGTGTTTGTAGGGACTAAAAGTGAATTCATTAAAGCTCTTGAGAGTGTCAGGCAAGCAGAAGTGCTCTGTGGACCTTAGCTGTTGATACGTTGTGATCTCCACCAGACTGTGTCTCTCAGGGCATCCCTGGCTTCCTGCAGCAAGCCTGGCTCAAGGTCCCCTAGCCCCATTCCATCCAGTTCTGCCATGGTCTAAGATGGACCTGTGGGAGCCCCTCATCCAGCCTTCAGCCCCCAGGGCAAAGAGACAGAGCGAGGTCTGGTCCTGCTAAGGACCAATCCTGACTCCCAGGCTGCAGGAGAGCAGCAAGAGGTGGAGGCTGACCTCTGTCTCCCACCTCTGCCTTGCCTGCCACACTCCTGGGCTGTACCTCCCAGCATTGCCCCTGCTACACTGTCCTCCCCTGCCAAGAAGAGGCCCATAGGTGAGAACTGATAGGGCAGTGCCAGCCACCACTCTCCTGCTCAGGAGCCTGCAGTGGCTCCTCAGTCCCTCCAGGAAAGCACCAGGGTCCCACAGTGGCCCTAGGCCCTACTGCAGGTTTCTACCCTTGGTTGGATCAGGGCAAAGTCTGGGAGAACTTATAGGCCCTTCTCAGAGTGTCTCTAACTGAGTGAGATATAATGCATAGGACGGTGAGGAAAAAAAGGAAACTAACCATATTGAAGTACAGCTATCGAAATATTTTAAAAACAAATGTGTTACATAATGACATGGGTGTTTCTGCGTTAACCCATTATATAACAAGATCTAGCGGCAGGTCTGCTCACTGCTGGCACGCAGAAGTCGAGATGAGTGTACATATTTGGAGGCAACTGCAGCAACTGTGAAGTGGGGCTGACACTGCCGTACTTTGTCGCTCACATCTGTAGCAGAAGAGCAGGCCTATGCCAGCTTCCACTACTGAACGTGGACATACAACCTCCCAGCCCAGTCCACAGACCACCTGAATTTCCTCAGGAGGCTCTTGGTCTGGTTGAGAGTCTTGATTAAAAGCCCTGGTGCATGATCCCTTCTCTTTCATTCCTGCAGTCCTGGGGATCAAATCCAGAGCTGCTCTACCACTGAGCTACATCCCCAGCCCTCTTCATTTTATCTCACTTAGATCCCCAGGCTGGCCTTGAACTCGTGATCCTCTGCCTCAGCCTCCTGAGGAGCTGGGGTTGCAGGCCTTTGCTACCACACCCGGCTCATTGTCCTTTCTGAGTCTGTTTCTTCCCATCTCCCAGTCTCCCATCCTCTCCCATCTGCCCCGCTGCAGCCACGGTGCCTCCTACTCCGGCTTGCCAAGGGCCTTTCCAATGGCCTTCTCTCTGCCTAGAACTCCCCTTCTAGCGCCCTGGGTGACTACTCCCTCACCTTGCTCAAGCTTTGGCCCAAATGTTGCCTCCTCAGAGAGGCCTGGCCTGACCAACCGCCCTATTTTAAGCTGCAGCAGACAGTTTCTCCCTGCCACTCTGCCACTCTGCCACTCATCGTGCTCTATTGTTTTATCATTTTAACTGCTTGTTACCTGTCTCCCCACTGGAACTCCAGTCCCCTTGGGGCAGGGATCTGAGTTTCTTTCACTGCAGCCTCCATTTCTTAGAGCAGGACCTGGCACATAGTCAGCACTCAGTGATTAAGTATTAAAAGCGATGCATTTGTAAGCCAGGAGGTGTTACATAAAAAAGCTATTTGAGGGCTGGGGATGTAGCTCTGTGGTAGAAAGCTTGTCTAGGATGCCCAAGGCCCTGGATTCTATCCCCGGTACTGAAAAGGTATGGGGTGGGGGGTGGGTTGCTTGATTATGAAATTTACAGCTCCTCTTAAAAAAAAAGTTGCTAAGTTTTTTGGGAAAAAATTATTTGTGATAAATAAACTAAGGCTCAGAGACTCATAGTGACTTTTATGAAATCACACAGCAACTACATGTCTGGGCAGAGATGCCAAAGCAGGGCATTGTGTAAACAAAGGCTTGGCTGAGGGGGGAGAGCACCCGCATAACAGTGAATCACTGACGGCAATTTCCAGGGACTCACAGGGAAGTGCTTCCTCGGCGATGGTCAAATCTGGTCACTTGGGGTGGTGACTGCCTAAGTCTGCCACTAGGAGGCAGAGATGGCAGATGGCTTTGGTGGCAGCATGCCCTTCCCTCAGGCTTGGCTTCCTCTCTAGGTTCCCCTCCCCTGGAGGACGGCACATGGCCCTGGCCTGCAGCTCAGCTAGAGGTGAATGTTTCCTTGGCTACCTGCCAGGGTGACTGGGAGCTGCAAGCAGGGCTGCTGTGCTTCTGAGGACAGTCCCCCTGCCAGGCCGCAGTCACACCTACCCCTTCCTGGGGCCGAGGGCCCTGGCAGGGCAGGAGGCTGACCATGTGACCTGCCAAGGGCAGAGACCCAGGTCTCTCCACCCATGCAGAGGCCCTGCATGGCCAGGTGACCCGCAGAGCCTGACTGGATGTCCCTATGGAGCTCAGGGGGTGGCTCCAGCCCCTCTAGCCCTGTGCTCTGGGGCGTTGGCAGGGCACACACTGCCCTGGAGCCAGGTGCATGCATCTATTCACACTCTTGCTCATGCACACTCACATCCACACAAACACATGCAGTACTTGAGCACCCACACTTGTGCACTCATCCATGCATACCCACACTCCTCACAGCCAGACCCAAATGGATGCCGCCCCGGGCTGCCCCCTCTCCGGGCAGCACCCTGTCCCTGCCCCCGGGCAGTCCCACAGCAGCACCACAGGGCACTTTCCGAGGGTGGCTAAGCCCCTCCTTTGGCTGATGAGGAAAAGGAAGCTCAGAGTCGGGCAGGGACAGCTCCAAGGTCACACAACATTGCATGGCTAAGCCAAGATGCCGAGCTGGGTCCCCACCAGCAGCCCAGGGGCTCTGCCCACACCAGGGACCTCACCTGTCGGACTCTCTGGCTAATGGAGAGAATAAATCTGTAGGTGCTGTGTATTCAGGGCCAAATTACCTCTCCCTGCAGTCTGCCAAGCCAAAGGGGTTGTTCATGGTAGCTGTGATGTGTTAGCACCAACCAGGAGTGTGTGTGTGTGTGTGTGTGTGTGTGTGTGTGTGTAAGAATAGTGATGTTAGATGTCAGGACCTGTGTACTAACCTCCTGTGCTGTTCTGCCCTCCCCTGGAGGTGCAGTGAGGCAATCAGGTGGAAAGGTGTTTGGAGGACATAATGGGCTCAACTAATGTTGGCAAGTTATTTTGCACCTTACTTTGCTTCCTACACAATAGGAGAAATATAGTTATTGATTCTGATGGTGATCAGAATTTCTGTGAATTTTCCTGCTTCCCTCCACCCCTGGAGGCCAGGCTGAGTGCCCTATCACAATAACGATCATCATGAACTGAATGCCACCTAAGCGCCAGACATGGAGTTGACACTATTAGTACTCTCAATTTGCCAATAAAGAAACCGAGGCCCAGAAAGTTGCTCACATTCACAGGGCCTGTCTGGCAAGTGCAAGGTTCTGAGTTATATTCCCGGTACTGGGAAAAAATTTTAAAAATCAATCAATAAATAAACTCACAGGGCCAGAAATCCCATCCCGCGGGTGTCCAGCTGTAAAGCCAGCCCCTACCCACCAGACAGCACTACCCCTTGTTGCAGCGCAGGGCTGAGCTCCTCCCAGCGCCAAGTACATCCCCTGGGACCTGCTCCCCTCAGCCGGGTGCCCGAGAACCGGCTGAAAGCAACCATGTCCCCCTGTGTGTGACCTCTGACCTCCCTCCCTGCACGCCCCGCCCGCCCGGGCAGAGGGTCTCCTGTGTCCGCCCGCCTTCCCCCGCTCTGACCCTGGCGCCTGCAGGTGCGGCTGGTGATCGCCGAGAAGGGCCTGGCGTGCGAGGAGCAGGACGTGAGCCTGCCGCAGAGTGAGCACAAGGAGCCCTGGTTCATGAGGCTCAACCTGGGCGAGGAGGTGCCAGTCATCATCCACCGCGATAACATCATCAGCGACTACGCCCAGATCATCGACTACGTGGAACGCACCTTCACCGGAGGTACGGGCGCGCCCGCCGCAGGCAGGGTCAGTCGGGGTCCCTGAAGCTTGGTAAGCCGGCGAGCTCCACGGGGGCCAGGGGCAGGGCCCAGGCTTCCCAGAAACAGCCACGGGACACAGGCCGGGCTCCCTGCCCCAGGAACCACAGAGCCACGGGCACAGCCAGACCTTGGGCCCAGCGACCTCTGACCCGGGGCTCTGGGGCTGTGGCCCCTTCCTCAAGACCCCCGAAGTCACAGGCACAACCACAGACCCTCAAGTCCTTTGAGTCCCCACAGGCAGCATCCAGCTCTCCCAGGGGATTCAGCTCCCCGAAACCTTGATGCACAGTTGGGGCCAGACTCCTGGGACCCCGTAGATATGGTCTCAGACACCGCAGAACCCCTCAGACAAAGGCAGGACCCTGACACCCTCAACTTGCAGGACCTGCTGTCCTCACCTTCTGCTTGGCTGGCAGCCACCGAGAGGGGTCCGTTGGCAAATGCAGGGTGAAAGAAGGTGAGGGGTGGGGCTGGGGGCGCTCACCCCACTCTCCAGGCACTGACCGGGTCCATCCCCACCACTGCAAAGGAAAAAAATACAAAGAATGTGAGTCATTTATCAATGATTCCAAACCAAAGAGACTTAGGTGTTTTTAAACTCTAGGCTTCCAGTCTCTTGAGATCCGGTGACACTGGTCACAGACCCTACTTGGCCATAGTCTGAGTCAAGAGCAGCTGGCCCTGGGGGACAGGTGGGCACAGCCCAGAGAGGAGAAGCAGCCAGTGGGCCACCCGGGTCCCCGCTCTGCAGTGGCTGAGTCCGGGAAGTGAGTGTGCCTGCCTGGAAGCTCTGGGCTTGATGCTGTGGGGTTCTGGGTGCTAGCGCTGGTGGTTCTCTGCAGAGCATGTGGTGGCCCTGATGCCCGAGGTGGGCAGCCTGCAGCACGCACGGGTGCTGCAGTACCGGGAGCTGCTGGATGCGCTGCCCATGGACGCCTACACACATGGCTGCATCCTGCATCCCGAGCTCACCACTGACTCCATGATCCCCAAGTACGCCACGGCTGAGATCCGCAGTGAGTGCCAGGGGTGGCGGGAGCCCCTTGCTCTGTGGACAGGAGTCCCCTCTTCTACACCCTGTCCTCCCGTGTCTCGTATCCTTGTTGTCCTCCCCTCCTCCCCCTCCTCCTCTTCCCTTCCCCATCCGTCTTCTAAATCCTGTTGCTAACCGAACGTGCCTCTCTCACTCTCTAGCAGTCTCTCTCTCTCCCCACCCCAAGATCCTGCTCTTGTCCTGTCACCCTATAGAGGGTGCCGGGCTGTTGGTTCTCCAGAGGCTTTTGTTGTCCTGAGGATCTAAGGACCTCTCACAGTAATCCCAGAGCTAAGGAAGCTGAGACAGGAGGATTGCTGCAAGTTTGGGGCATAGTGAGTTCAAGGCCAGCCTGAACTACATAGTGAGACCCTGTCTCAAAAAAAACAAAACCAATTTTTGCATCTAGTCCAACCAGTGTGATCAGGGCCGCATGGAGGCTGTGGACCACTGAAGATGCCCATCCCAGCCCATGGGGTCATGGTGACATCCAAGAACGAGGTCAGAACCATGTCAGGCTCTGGGCTGGGGAGCTGAAGGACATGACTGGTGGCAGTGTAGCTGAAAGGGGTGGCAGAGCATGTATGTGAGATGGGTAGCAGGTATGGCAGAAGAGGGATTTCATCCAGAGGACAGTGGAGAAAGCTTGCTGGGCAGTGACAGTGCAGATCTGCATTTTGCAAAGAGTGGACCGAGCCACTGGGAGGCCCTAGCTGTGATCCAGTTGGGCAGTGATGGTGGCCTGGCCTGGGGGGAGCAGTCTCACGTGCTTCTGGGCTGGGCACTCCCCTTGGCCTGTCCTGAGCCATCCGAAGAGTCTCAAAAGGGAGAAGGGTCCAAGGCAAGCCCCACCCTCTCCCTCCTTTGAGAAAACAGAGAGAATCTGAGGACTCCAGCCCGGATGACAAGGAGAGACTTGGAAGGGAACAAAGGGGGCAGAAGCCGCTGCAGTGACCCCACCCTAGTTGGCCCGAAGTCTTCCTTTGGCCTGGCCTACCCTCCTGAAGTCCACAGAGAGCCGTGTGGGCAGCCCCAGGGGACAGGCAAGAGGGAAGATGTTACACTTGGCCTGCACATTCATGAAACATCAGTGACACTTAATATAGCCCCAGAGCTGGGAGAAGCCGGGAGTTGTTTACCGGGAAGTGTATCAGGCCAGGCTGGTGGGTGGTGAACCCCAGAGGGAAGAAACTAAATGACCACAGCATCTCACTCCCTCACTCATTCCATTCCTTCCCTCAATACTCACTGCACTCCTGCTTGGTGCCAGGACTGTGTTGGCCTTTAAAGGGAACCTAGGTGAACCTGACAGAGCTCTACTCTGCAAAAGCTTGCATGCTCTTGGGAGAAATACGCATCCAGAGATGACTACATTAGCATCAATTTCCCTGTTCAGCAGGAGTACAGGTCGTGCACTGCAAAGGTGCAGGGGGACTTTTTGCCAGACCCCAGGTGAGTGGAGTTGTGCCATGGCAGCTGTAGCTAGGGTGTGCGCGCTTTCTTTGGCAGAAGTTTGTAGAGAGTACACTGGAAACAAAGGCACTGAAGGTCTGATGCCCTCGAGGGTCAGGGAGGTTTCATGGAGGAGGTGATCATCAGCCGGACTTAGACGGAGGTTTTGGGGAATAGAGGATATGGCTATCTCCGGAGGAAGAAGCGGAACAAGCAAAGGCCTGGAGTTTTGGAATGGCCTGGCACACTCAGAGAGCAGGAGCATTTGGGGTGACAAATGTGCCATCTGAGGGCAGGGACCACTGGGGAATTTGTGGGCCAATGAGAGGGGAAACACATATCCCGCATGTCCCTTGGAGGCACATGGAGAGCGGTGACGCTGTCTGAGGGAAGGGGTGGCTGGGGTGAGCTTCCCACAGTGGGGGCCAGGCTGGGGGTCTGTGAGGAAGGTGACCCACGGAGGTGGGAGGGAACAAGTGAACAGAGGTCTGCACTAAGTAAGGACCAGAGGCTTGGAGAGGAGGAATGAGAAAGACAAGGAGGGCAAGTGCTGGGGACCTGGGGCTGAGCCTAGGCGAGGAGGAGCTAAAGACAACCCTGGGCTTGGCTTGGCTTTGTGGGGGGAGGGGGAGGCTTCTTGCCCCCTCGCACTCCAGGTAGCAGCTCTCTGGGTCCCACAGCTTTGTGTTCTTCCTTACCGATGATCATCAGTGTCATAGGACTTCATCATGGGTCTGTCTCTCCCACTAATGAGTCTGAGCCTTGGGCAGGCGGCCTCTCTTCTGTCCCGTGTTACAGCCTATGGTGCTTGCTGAATGTTGGCTGTGGACACTTACTTCCGTGACCTGAGTTTGGATGGACTGACTCACAGCTGTGTGGGGGAGGGGAGACAGAGGCACCGGGTATCCGGGATGGAACCTTTCCTATTCTCTGCCCAGGACATTTAGCCAATGCCACCACAGACCTCATGAAATTGGACCATGAAGAGGAGCCACAGCTCTCTGAGCCCTACCTTTCTAAACAAAAGAAGCTCATGGTGAGTGTCCCCACCTGCTGGTCTCCATCCTCACCCTCCATTCCATGGAAAGGGAAAACTGGGGAAGCTGGCAGGAAGTTGAGAATCAGCTGAAGGTTTGTGGTGGAAAACCATGGGCTTGCTTTGCCTATTTTGTCTCTTCTGCTATTTACTGTCACTTTGACCTTGGGCAAACCACTGTCACCTTGGGGCCGCATGTCTTAGTCTGTGTCTCTGCAGACAGGGCATTAGACACAGGTTCTTGATAAGAAGGTATCAAGAGAGTGCTCTGAGGAGCTCAGTAAGGACAGGAGGGACAGGCAAAAGGAAGCAACCAAGCCTTAGCAGCCTCATGGAAAGTTCTGGAGCATAAAAGGCACCACACAGTGGGTCCACCTTGTGGCCACATTGGCTGGCATTGGCTGCAGACTGCCTGTCAGGTAGGAGGTCACCTCCCCCATGTTTCTGAGCAGGGAAGCTCCTCATTGGCTGCGAGCAACTCTCTGGAGAAGTGCAGCTGTTGGTCCCCTAGCAAGGGTGCTACCTGCAGCTGGAGATAATGTGCCAGCCCCATGGCAGAGATCTGAGAAAGGCCAAGCTCATCAGACAGGCATAAGCACCAGATGAAGGCACTTTTTATTTGGAGCCTAAGCTTGAAGAAAGGAGTTTAGGCAAAGTTTCCTTCCTGACTCCAATGAGGCCAACTCAACCTTTGACCCCTGCCTGTTCTGCTGCAGGCCAAGATCCTGGAGCATGATGATGTGAGCTACCTGAAGAAGATCCTTGGGGAGCTGGCCATGGTGCTGGACCAGATCGAGGCCGAGCTGGAGAAAAGGAAGCTCGAGAATGAGGGTGGGTGCCAGCCCTGGGGTGGGTGGAGCTATAGCCTTCCAGCATACTCTATCCTGTCTGCCCAGCCCTAACCTCTTTTTTCCTCAAAGAGCTCAGAAGATCTATCAGTTGGGATACGGGGTCAGATAGATGTAGGTTCAAGCCCTAGGTTGGCCACTTACTAGCTGAGCAACCTTGGGAAAGGTTCTGATCTTTCTGGATTTCACTTTCCCATATATAAAGTGGAGATAATAATAGGACCTTCCGCAGAGCTGTGGAGGCACTGACATACATGCAGGGTGCTTAGACCACAGGGCTTAGTATATAGCAAGAGTTTAATAAAGGCTGCAGGTGAGGATAGTAGTGGTGGTGGTGACACTATCCACTATACCATCTCACCTTGCCCCGTGCAAGAATGCATTGTGCTTCCTTTGTGCTGCAGCCAGACATCCAATTTCACCCAGACTCTCCAGTGTTGGCTCTTCCTGCTCTTGAGCAAGTCCCTGATCAGACACCAGTTTCCTTCCCACCCCACACCTTGGTTCCTGCAGCCCCTCCAGCTGAAGTCCCTGTTCCACTCCAATCTGCTCCATTTGCCTGTGACGCCCATCTTTGCATCAGCCCTTCTTCCAGTCTTGCTCTGAACATTTCCAGCTTTCTCTATTTTTGGAGCCCCATTTCATCTCCTTGACATGGCAAATGTTTGTAGCACAGGCAGCATGCATGGTCACACTCCCAGCTTCCTGCATGGGAGCTGCAGAGCAGTGTCTGAAAACAGGGGTCTAGGTCAGACATATTCCTGTAATTCTAGCTATTTCAGAGGCCTTACTCCTTTCTGGAAAACGCATGGTGTAGCAATCTCAAGGAAGAACTTTCTGATTTCTATCAGAGTGCGCTCAAGGGCACCATTAAGAAGCGCTCTGAAGGAACAAAAGTGTAGAGGGTCCAAGGCTGGCCTTTGAGGTCAAACAGAATCTCAGCTCCATCCTTCTTTGGTTGGTTCACCTTGAACCTCAGACTTATGTTATTTCCTTATGTATTAGTTTGTCAGGGGTGAAAAAACAAAATCCCAAGGATGGGTGGCTTAAATAGCAGAATCCTATTGCTTCACAGTTCTGGAGGCTGGAAGTCCAAGTTCAAGGTGTCAGCAGGGCTGGTTTCATCAGGGGTCTCTCCCTGACTTATAGATGGTACCTTGTCACTGTGTCCTCACATGTCCTTCCTCTGTGGTCCATATCCTGGTGTCTCTGAGTGTCCCGTTTGTTCTTAGGAGTACATCAGTCAGACTGAGTCAGGACCCACACTAACATCTTCATTTTGAGTTAATTACTTCATTACAGGCCCCATCTCTAAATACTGTTACATTCTGTGATACTGAGAGTTAGGACATCAATATGTGAATTTGGAAAGAGAAAAAATTTAGCTCTATCTATAACTATATAAAATTGTTTAGTAATTTTATTGGTTTATTTGTTTTTGAGATAGAGGCTTGATAAGTTGCCCAGACTGGCCTTGAACTCACAATCCTTCCATCTCAGCTTCCCAAGCAGCCAGGTTACAGATGTGCACCATTGTGCCTGACACAATTTATGTATTTAACAATACTTACTGTGTGTCAGATGCTGTTCTAAGCTTTATAGATTTCAACTCTACAGTTTTTTTATTTGTTTGTTTCTTTTTTGGTACCGGGGATCGAACTCGGGTCCTTGTGCTTGCGCAGCAGGCAGTGAAACCACTGAGCTAAATCCCCGGCCCAACAGGGCTTTTTTTAACCTCCATTATTTTTCATTCATTTATTCAAATATTTATTGAACACCTACTACGTGCCAAATCCTGGAAGTAAAATTGTGAGCGAACACAAGATACTGTTCTTCTTGGGTAATTTGTGATCTTGGGGAAGAAAAAGACATTAGTCAAATAATCCCATTTGTAAACACAGAATTACAAACAGCAATAAGTGTTAAGATCAAGAGTAAATGGGCAAAGGTCAGGAGTGTAGCTTACAGGTGGAGCGCTTGCCTAGTATGTGCAAGGTTCTGCACCCAACCTCAATACCAGCAAAAAGAAGAAAGAAAAAAACAGAGTAAGATAGGCAGGACAAATTGCATAAAGCTTGACAAGGTCTGACAAAGTGACATTCAAAGAGACGTGAAGGATGAGAAGGAGCCAAGGGAGGGAGCAACCACCCAGACAGAGAAGATGCACGAGGGTGGCAGAGAAGGAGGGCCTGTGGAGCTACTGGGCAGTGCATGGTGAAGAGAGGGGCGTGAGCGAGGGCAGAGCCTGCCGGTGAGGCCCAGATGAGATCACGGGCTGAACCCGTATTACAAGGGTTGTGTTTACGCTGGGAGCAATAAGATGTCCTTAGAGCATTTTGAGAAGGGGATTGTGTCTGTTAGCTTTGTGGCACAATAAACCAGTCCAAGTCTGAGTGACTTAAAAGAAGAACTATTTTTTGGTTCATGATTTATGGCTTGGCAGTTGAGCTGGGCTTGCCTGGGAGCCTTGTCTGTCCCCCTTGGAGTGACTGGCTCCACTCCTACAGTTGTGAGCAGGAGCATGAAGTGGGCTTGCTGGCCTGGCTGAGGTTGGCTGGTACAGCCTGGGCCATGGATGTAGCTGGGCCACCTTTTGTGCCTCATCCAGCAGCTAAGCCAGGCTCCTTCAGGCAGTGGTGGGCACAGAGTCATGAAGAATGGTTGGAGCCCAAAGACCAGATGTCTAAAACTTCTTGCTGCCTCTGCCACAGTTGCAGTTACTGAAGTCCCATGGGCTACAGCAACTGACCTGGCAAAACCCAGATTGAAGGGGTTCATCAGGTCAGCCTCCTGGGGTAGACAGCATGGAGAAGGGGGGATCTAGAAAGGCACATGGAGACACAAGGCTTTGGACAGGCACAGAGGACTGCAGAGAGATTGACCTTGGGGTGGGCTGGCATCAGTGGGGTGATGGAAGGCAGAGGCATGAGCCTGGGCGTTTTCAGGTTTTGTGGTGGAGACTGAGTGTTTTTTGTCTGATAGCTGCTATTTTCTTTCTTTCTTTTTTTTTTGGTACTAGGGATCGAACTCAGGTCCTTGTGCTTGTGAGGCAGGCAGCAGAACCACTGAGCTAAATCCCCAGCCCAGCTGCTATTTTCTGAATGAAGCATGAGGTGATGTCATCAGCTGAGAGGGATCTAGGGACATGGTTTGAGAGGTGTAAGGAAAAAACATAAAAAGATATCAAAGTATCTCTGCAAGGAGCGAGGAAGTGGGCCTACTGGATAAATGTAAAAGGATCCTGCAGTGCTCAGTACACTTGCAGGCTTTGCTGTCCTGAATTTACAATATAACTGGATGGTTCCATGGCGAGAGTCTGTTGCAGGCACAGCTGGCAGCCTGAGAGAAGTGGCAGGTGTGCTTCATCTGGGCCTGCGCCTTTGCAAAAGGGATGGCCAACTGGAGGAGAGGAGGGGTAAGTCGAAGATATCAGGCTTCTGGAGCTACACCGACTGCTGCCCGGCTGGCACACATATGTGGTCACACAGAGTAGTACCTGTCATATTTGCCTATAGACACACACACGGGTACTCCCTACACATATACATATCCCATGTCTGCTGGAGAACAGCCAGATACACACCATGTGTTGCACTTACACAGGTGGTAAACCACACTAGGTGGACACCATGCCCACATGTCCAGATACCCACAGGCATATGAACAGTTGGTGCACGGACCTGTGCAGGTGACCCAAGATAAGCACACAGACCAGGCAGGACAGACACATGGACAGCATGCACCTTGAAAGGGCATGAGTAACGGTGGAGACACTTCTATGTTCACGCTCATCTGCATGTGAAAAAGAGCAGCATAAGGTATTAGTTTAGGAGCACAGACTCTGGAAACAGAGGGCTTGGATTTCACTCGAGGCTCTTCTCTGCCACTCGCCAGCTGCATGGCTTTGGCCAACTTACTTAACCTATCTGTGCCTCAATTTCCTCATTTGTAGAATGGGGCTAATAATCACACCTACCGGGATTGTTGGGGATTAAGGGAACAATACCATACTCTAGGGTGTTTTTCCCTCTCCAGCTGTCCCTTCTCTCCTGGTCGCCTGGTTTTTCCTTGCTGCCCAGTCTCTAACCTGTGGAGGGCCACAAGGCTCACATAATCGTGGCCCTTTCCTCAAGCCTGTGTACACTTGCTCCCTTGCCGACACCATGCAGTCCGCAGCTGGGGAAGTCCACGCCTCAGTCCTGGCTCTTCCCACTGTCCCCACCCCCACCAAGCTCACCTCCCCAGTACCTCGAGGAGTCCCCTGATCATCACCAGGAGCAACTCCTGCCTGCCCCATGTCCCCTGCCCTTTTCCTGCTTCATGCTTACATTGCCAAACCTCAGGCCCAGTTAAACCCAACACAGCATCCATCCAGTGCACCTGTATCTCTGACCATAAGATGGCTGTGAGTATGGCTGGGGGACTCACAAGGATGCTGACTTGAACTTGTGACACGGGCCTCAGGTGACCTTAATGCTGACTCAGCCCCCCCCCCCACTTCCAGGTAACTCCTTTGTCCTTCACCTCTACCATTTCCTCCAATCCGCTCTCATAACTGATTCTTCTCTATGTCACTGAGAAAGTCAAAGCATTAGGAAGAGGTCTTCATAACTATCCACCACCCTCAACTACCCACCACCAGTCACCGAATACACACACACACACACACACACACACACACACACACACAGTGATTTAGAAACTTAAAATGCATCTTTGTTAAATCACATCTTGATATCTCTGAAATTGGAATGTTTCTCACAACCAATAGTTTATCTCTCTGATTTTTGGGTGGGTGTCTTATATCTGATGGCAACTTAGATTGAATGACACAGAGTAGTATGTTACCAAGGATGAACTGTCCTTGAGCTATCTAAGACCAGTCCTTTTTCTAGTGCACTGGGCCCCCTCCATGCTCATCCATGCAATGACACATTAGGGATTTTTGCCACTCTTTCCTATAGCAGTTTCCCCCTCTCCGAT